GACGAAGAACAAAACTCTCTGGGTGTAGTAGAGACAAGATAAAGAACAAAACTCTAGGTGTAGTGCAGACAAGACGAAGAACAAAACTCACTTTGTGAATCTCCACCTGTGCTTCCCGCAGTCGTCTCTTGTACCTGGCAGACTCCATCTTCAACTGTTGATTATGGTTCTGTAAACTCTGGATCAAATTCCGCATTTCTCGGTTTATTGTCACTGGGGACACACACACGACACACATACCATTGTTAGTGAAGGACAGAAACAAAAAAAATGAATTTTGAGGCCTCAGGTTCAAATTTCAACACAGATTTTCTTTTATACAAAATCCAAATTAAACGTGAGATAGCATGGTGAAATCAGGCGCTCGTCAAAGTAATGAAAAAGAAAAAACTGAAATTTTTCGCAGGTTTGGGAATTTTTATTAAATTTTCGTTTTTTTGGCTCAACACTTTCTAAGTCCATTAAAGAACACATTTCTGAACGATACCAATAACTCTACATACCAAAACATTAACGAGTGCCGATTCCATCGCGCCGCGACACAAATCTTAAGACACAAAGATAAAAACTAAAAAACAATGTCTCTATAAAACAAGTCCTTTTAAATCTTACAGCTAGGATAGAGAGGAACATGTTTCAGTGAAGATAGATAATTAATTGATACTACTTTACCCTACTAGCCACAGATGTGATCTTTTGACTTTTAATTGAACTAAGCAAACTTGAAATAGCGTCAAGATGCTAGCCAAGGATTTGGGAAAGACAGTGTTTGTTCGTGGCCTATACCCTGGTGCAGTGCAAGAAAGGAAGTGATGATGATGATGATGATGAACTATGCAAACATACATAAGTAAAAAACTTTAATGTTAGGTTGTGAAAGTTCTTCTTTATGTGGTTGAACTGGTTTTTCTTGTTTCTGTGAAATATTTTCCCGTGTGAATGATCATGTGATTGGTGCAAAGTGGTCAGAGCTTATACTAGTATCGGATAGAGCGCTGCATAAATGCAATCTAATATTATAATGTTGAATTTTAATGAGAGTAATATATAATTTAGATTTTTTAAGTATACCTGCATGTGTTTTTAAGGTCTTGTGCAGCAAAGAAAAATTTCCCTCTGAGATAATAATAAAGTATTATCTTATCTTATTATTAGTAGTAGTAGTAGTATTTTAAAAAACCCGCCATGAAGAGATGCACAGACTCACAGTTCTGGTCGTTGGCGGCCATTGCTTGCTCAAACTCTATCCTGACCATGTCGTATTCTTTCCTGGTCTGTGTGAGGCTGTCCTCCACTTGGATCACCTCCATCTTCAGCTGCTTCTGACCCTCCACCTCGTATTGCTGGGGGGAGGGAGGGGGAAGGGGAGGAGGATGGAGTGAGGGGTTCAGGAACAGAGACCGTTAGAGGGGACGGAAGCTCGTTTGTTGGAGTAACGAGAAGCACAAATACTCAACAATGGTGGTCAGTTGGTGAAGGGAAAAGTTAAGACAGACAGGCAGAAAAAGCAGTAAGCCTTTTTAAAGCACTTGTAGCATAATTAGATCATGTATAAGTCCTGAAGATAAAAGGTGTTACAAGAGACAGGCAGAAAAAGCAGGGGGAAATTTTCGTTTCAGCACAGTAAGCATTTTACGACACTTGCAACATAATTAGGTCAAATAAGTGCCAAAGATTATAGAGGAGTTATAAGAAAGTCACAAAGATAAAAAGAAGGAGGAGAGATAACGAAGACAGATGTTTGATAAAAAAAAATATTTAGTAAACCACCTACCAACCACCCACTACATGGAAGTTGACTCACATCAGTGCAGAAATTCCCACTCGGTTAACGTAATTGGCACTTTATATACTTTTATATTCTTCATTTGATTTCGTTCTCTAAGCCAAATCGCCCCTTGGTCTAAAGAATACCAAGTTTTCTAAGGTTGACGCTCACCTCCTCGTTTATTTTAGTAAGAGTTTTACGTCACTTGCAACACAATAAGGTCACATAAATGCCGAAGATTAGAAGTGTTACAAGAGAGTAACAAACACAAAAAAGAAGGAGGGGAGATAGAGACGATAGATTTTTTTAATAGAAAAGAAGGAGCAAACCACACCAGAGCACCCATCAACCACTCACCCACCCCCCCTGGTCTAAAGAATACAGAGTCTATTTTTAGGTCGGTCGGCCAGCGCTCACCTCCATCTGCTCTATCTGGCGGCTGTGCAGGTTCTTGTTGATGGTCATCTGGTTGCGTATCTCCTCCAGCTGGGTTCGGATCTGCATGCTCTCGTTGTAGAGCACGGAGAACTGTGACTGGAGACACTTGTACTCGGTCGTCTCCAGGATCACATTCTCGGGGAGGTGCTGGAGCTGTCGACAAACCCAGAAAATTTGTTCATCAAACACAAAAAAAATGTTTTTCGTTTGAGGGAAACGATATTAACTTACGCATCTTTATTGGTTGCCTGGTTGTAGTTTACAGCCAGCAGTCAGCACAAATACAGACACATTTCACCAGGAACTTTAGGTTT